GCTTCTTGTTCACACACAGCTTCAGCTAATGATGGCAGGGCAAAACAGACCGTTTCGAAAGCGTAATTACGTTTTACCCTACTAGAATTGATGCCGGAACGTTATCATATTCATAAGTGCAAGTCATTTGCATGTGTAAGTAGAAACATATGCAATTCAGATGAAACTTCTGGGCTGATTATAACGTGCACGATAACTTTCCTCATGAAATGTGTGTGTGGGTCCGACAATAGCATCCACGATGTCATCGCTCGTGGTCAGCGCACTCTTAAGCAGTTATTAGCAGCAGGCTGTGTAATAACTCTTTTATTTTTTCACTTGGCCATTTGACTTATAGAAGTGTCCAGTGTTTCCCATACATTGAGTTATTTGTGGCGGCTCGTCACAGCAGACGGACAGCCACAAATAGATTTTCCAAAAGTCTTATACTTCCTTGAATAAACTGAGCACTGCAGGTTTCAAAATTAAAATGCAGCGCGGGTGTTTTTATATGAATGTATCTTTAAAAAGAACCGACCATCTTCAGAAAAGCTTCTGTCATTTTCATTTCGACTTTCCTGTAATGCCTGATAAAGTAGCGCTTATTAGATTACAGCCGTTACCGGGGAAACCGCTATATCTCCCGCTCCAGCAGCGCCTCCTGCTGGCAGAGAATTAATTTGCAGTCTGTGGGAAACACTGGTGTCTGTCAGCAAACATAAACAAAAAGCATGCTTCAGAACTGTTTTGAGAAGGTGCTTAAGTTTTGAGCCATGTATTATTACTCTGAATTAGGCTACTACTACTATTACTATCTTGTATCCTGCAATAATCATTTACTCAAACTCACTTTTATGAGATGAAGGGGAAGGGGAAAAAAAGAACATTGGCCAAAAAAATCGGCATGATATATCGGCCATTGGCTGCCCTGATTTCTAAATATCGGCATCGGCATCGGCCAGTGAAAAACCCATATCGGTCGACCTCTAATAACATTACATTTTATAATATATTAAAATTTTAAACTTTTTTTTTATTTGTAATATTTCACAATATTGCAGTTTTTTTTTTTTTTTTTACTTTATTTTGGTCAAATAAATTCAGCCTTGATGAGCAGAAGATATTTATTTCAAAATCATTAATTGTGATGTTTCCAAACTTTTGGCAGGTACTTTAATAATAATAACAATTCTATATACATTACTATAATATATTATAGCACTTTATTATAATATATTATATTAAATTGTTATCATGATTATTAAATGCTGCTTTTTATTTTTTACAGGACAATAGTATGTATTATTACAATATAAGATATATCTTTTAATGTGCTAAAATATATATTTTTAATAATAAGTGCTGGGGGCGTGGCTTGTCGGCATGACTTGGAGCATGGTCAGATTTTCCTTCTTTTTTGTCTCTAGCTGATCACATGCCTGAAAAAGCTTATTGGTCAACCATGACTCAAAACAGAATAAAACCAAATTTACATTTTGTTAAAATTGACAATGTTGCTATATGACTTCTGTACAGATTCTACTCTCCTATAGTCGTCCCTGGCAGTGCACCCCTACTCTTTTACCCATCAGTTCGCCCTGCACTCAATGTTGAGGTCAATGCTATGGTTTCTCATGTGAACACACCGTCAGACTTCTATGTACAACTAGTGAGTATAAAAACACATTTATTATAATGTCAAAATGAAATAATTAAGTGAAAATGAGATTTACACATCCTTGGTGAATGCAGGTTGAAAATATGGAGTACCTGCTGTTGCACTCAAAGCTCCAGGACTGTTACAGTCGTCCCCAGGCACACAGTGAGTTCCAGGTCTACTGCCCTTCTCTCTCACAGGCCTGCGTCGCTTGCTATGACCAAGAATGGTGCAGGGTTCAAGTCATAGGTGCGTTCATGCGTGTACAATATATCAGACATGTAAACATACAATAAAAGAAAGCCAGTGTCGCTTTGATACAATGTATAAAAGTTAAAAGGATTGCCTGTGTTTATATTTCAGGTTTCCCTGGTGGTCGGATGGTTGAGGTTCGGTATGTGGACTTTGGCTACAGAAAGACACTCTCTGTGAAAGATCTGAGACAGATAAAGGATGAGTTCTTTGCTTTGCCAGAAATGGTAAGATTTAGGTTTACGTGTATACTGTGATACTATGATGGACAAAATTTTATATTGGTTTAAAGGGGGAACAATATGAATGAAACTTACTTGACAACTGTTCCTACATCAATATCACATTGGTCTTAATGAATAATACTTGCCAGTACATGGCAATTGTGCAGAGAAAATTACCCCACAGCACCACATAGTACCACCAGCAGTGTAACCAGTTTGAACGTGGATACTGTACTGCTGTGGAAATTATGATACTGTGGCAAGTCTGTCAAAGCAGGTCTTTAAAACACACCTGAACGATACCGCTGATAAATAACAAACTTAAAGAAGTCTGTCTATCCATTTGTTTTTAGGCTTTGTGGTGCAGTCTGAATGATGTGGTCAGTCCGCAGGAAACATGGAGTGATGAAGCCTGTGTTGTGTTCAAGGAACTTGTGGAGCATAAACTTATCACTGTTGTGGCGAAAAGTAAGTTTACTCCTACATGCATAAACACAAAGACATCCGAAATATATCACTGCTTTTAAACAATGATCTATTGTCCATAATAATGTGTGCACTGTGACATCATTATTAACCGTAATTTGGAGAGTAATGTGGTATACTGTACATCTTTGCTTGAATCTATCACTTTAATGCAGAGCTTGTGCCCGGCACTAGACCTGTGCCTGTGTGTCTATATGAGATTGGTGATGATTGCACTGGAGCCAGTATTGGAGAAATACTGGTCAGAAATGGTCTCGCTGTTTCCAGTAAACAGTAAGTCATGAAAAAGAGACCATCTGAACTATCTATCTATCGATCTATCTATCTATCTGTATTTCATTAGTTCTTTCATTCTGTCTCTTTTTCTTTTTTCTTTCTTACTGTACTTCCTCTTGCTTCTTCTTTGAGGCTAAGTCCATTGTATTCAATATTCATTTTCTTCTGCTTCATCAGGAGCCAGATTAAAGACGCCCAGCCCTTGGAGACGACCGTATGGGATCCTCCATTTGAAGAGGAGCCTCTGTCTGTTGTTTTGACTCCTCCTCCTGCTTCTGAAGAGCTGAAGCCCAGCCTGATTCTGCCCACATGTGTCAAAGACATCAAAGTTCGTGTGACACATGTCACCTCTCCTGGAAACATCTATGTGCAGCTGCTGCAGTTTGACGGCCAGCTGAAGAGGTGCCCGATTTCCTCCGTACATAATTGTACATTAGTGTTGGTCGATATGCTCCAGTCATATTGTCCCATCGTTAGCCTATAAGATCGCTGATACACATATTATCATGCTAATTTTTTTTTATTACAACCAACTCCAGGGTACGGCTAAAAGTAGCCTAATGTTAGTGTAATTTAATAACAACACATATCTTTGCAGTCAAGTAGCATATGGATGTTCTAAAATATATTTAATATGACTGAATTTGTATTTAACAGGATAACAATTTAATAGAAATTGTTACGTAGTTTATGCTGAGAGAATTAGTGAGAGAACTGAATTCAGTCAGCGAGCGTGCACTGAACAACAAAACTATGGCGTTTCAGCAATGGCTAATCTGAACGCGTCTGATTGGCCATTGCATTTATAAACCTAACGGAATCGTGTGTGATTGTTTATAACGCACTACACTATAAAAAACATATGGTGGAATGAATAAGCCCTAATATAATAATAATAATCATCGTCTTGATATCATCAAAGGCATCAGCCACAGGCGATATCTTTAACTATTGTCGATACACAATACTATCGGCACAACCCTATTGTACATCAAACTTCTTTTCAAAATTCTAAATAAAGTCCTGTTTTCAGTGATGCATCTATTTAGGTCAAGACGATGGTATTCAGTCGTAACGCTGCCATTTTGCATGCAATGTTTGCAGAATCCACGACACGCTGAAGGGTCTCTTCTCTAAGTCAGAGCCACAGGAGATGCTCTGGGAAGCAGAGATGTTCTGTGCTGCCAACAACACTGGGGTTTGGGAAAGAGGAAAAGTGTGCAGTGTGTCCACTAATGGTGTTGTAGAGGTGCAGTGTGCACACACTTTCATAGAAAAAAATCCCACTCTTTTCAGATTTATTCAACTATTTAATTTGAGTGTTGTTTTCTTTATAGGTTTTGCGTTGTGACTTTGGTAATAAAGTGAATCTCCATGTAAACAATCTCAGACCACTCAGTCCTGATCTGATCGGATCTTTCTTACTCGAATGTAACCTCAGTGGTGTAAGGTAAACAATCTGATAGAAGCTCTTTTTTCTCACAGTCACAGATGTGCATGCGCAGTTTACATACATTTACATGCACTTTGCAGAACCTGCAAAGTGTTAATCATTTTACTAGGGTAAATTGTACTTATTTTGTCTTCTGTAAATTGAAAAGTGCGAAAAGATGCATCTCAAAATTATAGTTACTGTTGTAAAGCAGAAGATGCTGTAAAACCAAAGAAGGAATGTGCAGGACCTGGAGGACTTCTCTAAAGGACAGTGGGCAGTTAAAATGCTCAAGACAAACAAGGAACTCGTGAACAAAAAAAAAAACATTCATAGATCATTCAGCATTTGTAAACCTTTTAACAGAATATTTTTAATTCGGCTCTTATTTGTTTTATTTCTTGTCTTTTATTTTATTTTGTTTTTATTTTTTATTTTTTATTTGTGATCTGTTTTGTTCAAATGATTAACATTTAAACAGTCCACTATTTTACTACAACTTCAAACAAGACTAACCCAATCAGATTTGTGATGTATTACTGCTTTTTAGTGTTTCATAATGTGAAGTTGTTTTTGAACTTTTGTCATTTCATATTGATTTTCTTCCTTCCTGTTCATGTTTACCTTCCTCTCCAACTCTCAGGCCAGCTGGTGGTCGCTCCACATGGACAGCCACGGCGTGTGACTTCATCTCTCACTACTTGACCGGTGCCATGGCTGTAATGGCCATAAAGGTTAGAACAAATGTATGGGATCAAATTCCCACCAAATGTATTGCAGTCACGAGAAAAAAAATAACAAGCATGAAACCAAAATTTTAAAATGCAAGTAGAAATATGAAAATGATCTGTGACCGTTGTTTGCTATTCTAAAAACTTTGCCTTAATTTTATCCATGACTGCAAAACATTTCGCGGGAATTTGATCCCATATGAATGTAAAGGAGTTATAAAATTATGGAAAAGTTATCTCTGTTACAAACAATTCTTGTCTCTGAGTCTTTGTGTATTTTTCCTCTCAGGACCCATCTGCCATGCCAGTGCTGGTGTCTCTTTTCTGTTCAAACCGTGCTGGTCAAAACGTCAGTTTCGCCGATTTCCTCATCAGTGAAGGACTTGCTCTAAAGGAGAGAAAGTAAGAAAAAAAAGTTTCTGATCATTCACATGACCGTTAATGTTGATCTCTGTGTATACTAAGTGAACTGTTTTCCTAGGGCTGCTTCCATATCCGAGACGGTCTTCTCAGAGCAGTGTGTGTTGAGAGAGAATATTCCTGAGCCACAGAGAATCACGAGTCCACCTCAGACACCACCCACACCCACCCCTCGCATCAACCCACCACCAGAGAGAGTGCAGACACACTCATACCCCCCTCCAGAGCTGCCTCCCTGCGGACACACGCTCATGAGCGTCTCAGCCATCTCCGAACAAGGTGTCATTTACGCAATGACACACCAAGCAGGTGTGTGCCGTTTTATTTCTCACTAAAACAGTCAGTAATTTTGTTTTTATGACAATATTCTATCATCATTTTCATCCTTTCAAACTGAACATTTTTGCTGCTAAACCTTTAAGACTATGTAAATGACATCTGTTAGGATTGGCTAGTAGCAGCTACTCCTGCAAAGTTACTGAATACTGAAAACTCGTGTATGTGGGCAGTCATGAGTTAATGACTGTGGTAATATGTTATTGAAAATGCTTAAAAGCTCCATAATAAAGAATTTTTTTCTGTCGTATTCAGTGTGTGAGTTTGATCGCTTACGGGAGCGGCTTCAACAGCACATTAAAACCCTGCCAAGACAGAAGAACTACAACTGGAAAGGAGTTTTGGGATGTGCTGTCATGGGAACCGACATGTTCTGGTACAGAGGTCAGGTGCAGGAGGTCATTGGAGGACACGTGAAGGTCAGTGTGCTTTCACAGCACTGCATCACTTTCATATTTAAGTGAATTTATTTCATAATCTCAAATGTAAACACCTTGGGTCATATTGTTTTGTTACCAGTTTGTGTTGTAATTGTTCCAGGTCCAATATGTGGATCAGGGACTTGTGGAGAGTATCCCGGTTTGTCATGTGTACCCCATGGTTCTCTGTGAGGATGTGCCGCAGCTCTGTGTGCCCTGTCAGATAAATGGAGTCATACCGGTACGCGTCTGTGTGCTAATTTGAATTTGATTGCTTCCAATTTAAACTGGCAAATGTGGTCATCCTTACAGTTCACTCTTAACACAGGGATTTCCAAACATTTTTGTCAGCTGAACCTTTTTTTACCTAATATAATATATCAATAGCTTAATAATACATTGTTACACATTTACATTTTTTTTGTTGTTGTTGGTCAATGGGCACATCACTTAAAGCTAAACAATTTTTTTGTTTTATTTTGATTTTACGTTTTTTTACTTTTTATCAACTCATGGATCCCTATTTTAACCTGATAGCTGAGATTTCTACATTTATTAAATGTGACAATTTCCCCTTAAAGGTGTCATATGCGATTTCAAGTTTTCCTTTCTCTTTGGAGTGTTACAAGCTCTTGGTGCATAAAGAAGATCTGTACTGTTCAAATGCTGAGTTTTGTGCAGCGCAGAGTAATGTAACGTGTCGTGTGTGTGTGTGTGTGTGAGGGGAACGGTCACATCACAGGA